GAAAAAAATTTTTTTTAATCTTGCCATGTGAGTTGGAAGAGTTCTAAAATTTGAAACCATTCTCTTACTAAATGTATTTTCATTTGCATTATATTCGTAGATTCTTATGGTAATTCTGTGATACAGAATATTCTTAGAGAAATAACAATAGAAGACATTAATTTATTCTAAATCGTATTGTTATTCAGTAATATTCCAACATATTTTGATCTTTTGCCAATAATACGCTCTTCTTTCCTTTAGATGCATTCTGAAATAATCATTCCAGTTTTTTGCATGATTAGTTTTTACCTTTTCCTCATTGACCAACTTGAATGAGCATTTTATTTGAAGAAAGCTTTTTGGACAAATCACGCAACAAGGATAGGGTTCAAATTAACATATTTTCTCTTCAAGTAAGGGCTGATTCAGTCATACATTTTAAACTGTATTTTTTTAACTAAAAACACATATTTATGGTAGTTTTTAAATGTGTAATCTTAAGAAATCTCAAATAAAATCATTAACAGTTTTATCAGATTAAATTTATTATCTTTGTTGACTAGAAATTTACTAATCTTATCTCATTTTATGACATGTTTAACTGCCTCTTAGTTACTAACAGTATTTCTAAGATTAATTTGGAGTTATTTCTGCCAAATGAAACAATGTGATCTTCTGTTTTAATTTTCATAGGAATCTATTTGAGTTAATTAACCAAATTAACTAACCAGAAAATAAGTTATATTTATGTAGACCCAGAATCTTGCATTGTCTTCTATTGAAGAATCTAGGCAGAACATTAAGAATTTATTTTACGGAATCAGACATGATGGCTCCTTTAATAAAAAATAATTACTACTTTAAATTATAACTAATATTTGTTAGCTGCATTAGAAAATATTTTGCAAAATGATAAACTGACAAGTCAGACTGAAGTAATTAATGAAGATTTAGCATCATAGTTTATTTTTTCTTATGTTTCCATATCTTAATTCATTAATATTTGCCCTAGCTCAGCTGTTCCTCAAAGGACTAATATCTGGAATGTATAAAGAACTTTAAAAACCAGAGCCACCAAATTTGAAGACCCAGTCCCAAACTGGGCATGTGAAATAAATAGACACGTCTCAGATGAAGAAGTAGAAATGACAAATAAATACATTAAAAAATGTACAACATCAGTGGTCACTTGAGAGATGCAAAATAAAACAACACTTAGGTTTCATCTGAGTCAGGACAAAATGGTTATTATCAAGAAATCAACCAATGACAAATGCTGGCTTGGCTGTAGGGGTAGAAAGAAACCGTTCTCTATAGTTGGTGGGTGTGTATGTAGACTGGTACAATGCCTGTGGAAACGAGATAGCGACTCCTCAAAAATCTTAAAGTAGAGGTTGCGTTTGATCCAGCTGTTCCCCTTCTTGGTACCTTTCCAAAAGAATTAAAAGCATCATACCACAGTGATATATGTTTATAGTAGCACCCATGTTTATAGCAGTACAGTTTGTAATATCTAGATCTTAGAAATGGCCCAGATGCCCTTCAGCTGATGAATGGATCAAGATGTGTTTTTTTTTAAACAATGGAATACTACCCTGCCATTAAAGGATAAGCTTGAGACATTTATAGGAAAATGATGCACCTTGAAAGCATACTCTTAAGTGAAAGATAATGAATCATTTCTCTGGCTTGAGAAACCAAAAGTGTAAATAAGGAGCAAAATATATAGTATGCATTGTGAAATAGGAAGAAATGTACACGTGGGAAGGGGATCTAGGGAGAGGGCAGGAGGAAAGGAAGAAAAGGAAAAGAAAGTGGCAACTGAAGGAAAAAATAGAAACAAAGCTTTTGTAGATAATGAAGGAAAGAGAAATTAATTTTGTTTGAAGTGAAGAGAGAAAGTGGTAAGAAATGAAGAATTGAAATATAACATGTGCTGTACAAATGATCTTCATGTATATCTAAAATGTGCAATTAATTAAATTGTGCAATTAATTAAATTGCAATACAATTAATTAAAAAACACCCAGCTCATCTGAGAAATGATCTAGGCTATACTGTTTTTATAAAAATGCCTTAAAATTTTGTGATATCCTATATTTATAGGTAAATTAAGATAGATTGGATAGGGAAATTTTTGTAGTGGTAGTTTTGTTTTACCTTTTAAATGTCTTTCATTGTTGGAGAGGAAAACTAAAGTGGTAGTAATTACTAATTTCCCCCAATAGTAAAATAGTTAATTAAGTAGTTGTTAATAATTCAGTTTCTGGGCCCTACCCTAAATATTTTTACTCATTGATTTTCAGAAGAGGACCCAGAAATCTCTTTTTATATTTACCCGTAATGAGTCTTATGAAATGGTTTTTGTAACTCAGTGTAAAAACTTAGACAAGAATGTACTTCTTCAAGCTAATACACTTTAAAAAAAAGAGTTAAATATTCCAAATAATACTATACCCACTTTGATGAAGCCTGCACCCTGCCGCTTGCTATAACCAGACAGGACCGAAGATGGATGGGTTTCTTTCCTTCCAGCTTGGAACCCTGGAATGTAGTTATTGTATCTCTGCTGCTTAGTATAGTGATTGGCATACAGTAGATACACATAAGTATTTAGGATAGATGAATAAAGAGATCTACTGCTCCAGGTTTACAGTTACTGCATTTTGCATACACTATCCTTTCTTTCATTCCATTGCCTAAATTATGTGTATAACTTTATCTTCCTCCTTAAATGATACAAGGCTTTCATAGACAGGACCATATCTTGGCTATTTTTATATCTGTCTATACATGTCTATCCAAACATGGCCAGTGAATATTTATACAGTAAAAATATTTTGAGTTTATTTATGCTGTTATACAAGATTCTCACCTGCAAGAGGGAAGGGGACCTTTGTTTTTCAGTTTTTCTTTGGGATGAGGAGTGACCATATGTATGTGCAACGACATTTGAAAAAATAAATGAAAATAACTTCATTTTACAGATTTTCTTAAAAATTTTAATGTTGAGGTTAATGAGGCTTTATAGATAATAAAATTTACTTTTGTATTAGAGAAAACAACATTGCTAAACTCACAGGCAGAATGTCCCTACCTTTTGCAGGAGGTAGAATGGTAGACTTTGACATACGCTGTACTGGTGAAATTTCAACAGAGGATTATGGTTGACAGAATTATCCAGCTTAGAGGTTTTTAAAAGTTTTTATTCGTGCATGTGTAAAGTATGTAATGATTATCTTCCTCATGGGGAGTTGATACATGTACATATGATATATTTAATTCTTTTTTTAAGCAGAGTCTTGCTTTGTATTATAGACTAACTTTGAACTCATCATGTAGCCTGTTCTCAAACACACAGTTAACTTCTTGCTTCAGCCTTCTGAGTTTTGAGATTATAGAGATGCCCCACCACTCCTAGCTCACATTTTAATTCTTTTTACATCATTTTCCGTGGCTGGTATGACTTGCAATGTTTTCATTCTTTAAACTCCTTGGGGAGGTTTTTGTTTTTGTTCTTTAAGAACTTCTGATTTTTTTTCCCCACATTGTCTTCTTATCTTTCCTTTGAATTCACCCTAAATAATTACAGTCATTTTGGCGTTCTAGTTTGTGATTTGATTGTTATATAAGATTTGACTCCGGTGTGAATCTTAATTAGTATCATAAATATGGGAACATTTTCTTTGACAAGTTTATAAACTGCTTCCTAATACAGTAAAAAAATAAAATAAAATAATAACCTGAGGTAATCAACTTAAAGAGGAAAAGTTTATTTGGCCCCATAGTTTCAGAGGTTTCAGCCCATGGTCAGTAGGTCCTGTTGCATTGGGTGTCGCAGGGCAGAACATCATCATAGAAGCAAATGGTGTCACCAGCTGCTGACTGACTGAGAAACAAAAAGACGAAATCAAACAGGCGCAGTCTCTTTGAGGGTTGCTGCAGTGACCTAAAGCCTCCTACCATGCCTCACTTTTTTAAAGTTTACACCTCCAATACAGGACTGGAAAGCTTTACTATGTGGATCTTTGGGGGACATGTAAGATCCAAGCTGCAGCATTTCACATCTGGCTTCCAAAAACTCATATCCACCTTACCATGCAAAAAATGCATTTGGTGGATCTTTAGGAGTCTCCAGTGTTTTAAGCATTATGTTGCTCAAAAGTCTTAAGTCCAAAGTATCAAATTCTCAAGGCAAAAATTAAGCTGTCTGTCCCTCTAAAAAAACTAAGCCAAGTTAATACTTCTGAAATACACTGACATAGGGTAAATGCTCCCATTGTAGCGGGGAGGAGTATCAAACCAAGACTGAATGAAACACAAGGCAGACATTAACTGCCAAGTCAACACATCTTGGCGTCTGGTGCACACAGTGGCAGGATGTGGTCTCCCAAAGGCTGACTGCTTCAAACCCATAGGTTTGCTCGTTGTAACCTGCATGGCCTCTCTTTGGGGCTGACTTTGCAGCCTGCCTACAGCTTCCCTCCCTAGTGACGTTCAACAAACAGAATATGAATGCAACTGAAAAGAATAAGATAAAGGAGTAGCTTGCATTCTGCAAGCTGCCTGTGTACCTTCTGTCCTCTACTGTGTTTCTTGTTCGACCTCTAACCTTTCCCTACAATTACCTCAGTCTCATCATTCCCAAAAAGCCATTGCTATGATAAAAATTATTTCATTCTTTTGTATGAACAAATTATCTTTCTCAGTTTTCTTTGATAAGTATAACAAATCATGTTGTCATAATAGAAATGCACAAACTGAACTCCCAAGTGTTACAGAATCCATCCATTAGCACAGAAATCATTTGTATGCTAACAGAGTCATGTTATTGAATTTAATGTATCATGCCCTTATTCTGTATATGCCTCATTCTAAAATGAGAAAGTACAGGAAAATTCATAAATTTGAGTTTTGTTTTGAGAAATTTATACTTGTTTTATAAAGGATAATGCCCAAGCTAGTAGTAAGCTGTGATTTAGTGAATTGAAATATTAAATTACTTTTCTTTATTTTAGGTGATGGTGTTTGTACATGCTCGAAATGCCACTGTGAGAACAGCTATGTCTCTAATAGAAAGAGCCAAAAATTGTGGCCAGATTTCCTGCTTTTTACCTTCCCAAGGACCCGAATATGGACATGCAGAAAAACAGGTAAATCGGTACAAATGACAGGAAAAGGGCAAGGAGTAAAGCTGCAAAGACCAGATCCTGTGTATGTTAAAGATCTACTAGCTACAAGTTCCAAGAAGTAAATTTGACAAATTTACTGACTTTTTCCTTGGCTTAATGATCTTTTTAAAAAGTCCCACTGCTTGATGTTTTCATTTAACACATTTCTCCATATAGTTATAATTGAAGTTCTTGTTCCTATTTTTCAAAGTATAATTAAAATGTGAAAGTCAGTTAAATTTCATAAAATATATCTAGTGGCTTTATCATTATTTTTTTGAAAAATTAATAGTTTTTAAATTACTGTTTTACCTTCCAAGTAAAACATTGGCTGATACAACTTAAGAAATGAAAAAGTCTTTTTAAGATTTTAAAGGACTCCGAAAATGAAAAGGGTTAATTGAAATAAACTGACCCACAATATGTTCAAAGGACTGAAAAACGGTGGAACTACCTTGCATCCTGGTTAGAGAGGCAGAACCTCAGGCTTACCAAATGGGAATCTGCAGTTCAGCTAGATTCCCAAGTGATTTTATGAATGTTACACTTTATACCCTAAATATTTTGAGTGTTGGTAGTATCTAACAGAAGTTACTTAATTGTGTAGATTCAAAATAGGTCAAAATTGGACAAGCTATGGTCTGAGGGTTAAGAGTAGTCACTTAATTTTGTAACTAAAGTTTTTATTAGATGATAGCCAAATCTAGTGCTTTATCTATGACTGTTTCCTTACCCAAGAGGAGAAGAATTGATTATTAGCTAGACTCTGAGATACTCGCTGTCCCTTAGGAGAAAAGGTGCTAAGATACTGATTTCAAGCTACAGAAATAAAATATTTAAGATGTATATTGGCATAAGAGGATATTTTTATAATGTGCTTACTAAATAATTGCTAATATCAGGCATCGTGCTATGTATTTTCACATTCATTATCCTAGTAAATATTTAATTACGATTAATCACATACATTTCACTATTTTTATTTGATATTTCAAATTTTGATGATATTAAGCTAATGCCAGTTTTGACTATTAGATTCTCTTTCAATTTAGAACTACAAAATGTGTTTGTTTTCCTTTTTTTACTTTAGTTTTCTATTATATAGCTTTGTATTCTTCCAGTTATTTATGAGTTTTTGAAAAGTCAATTTTGTATTCATATGTCTTACTTATTTCATATCTTTGGGAAAAAAAAAAAAAAAAAAAAAAAAAAACAACAACTCTATTGTATTTAAAAGCCAAGCCTTGGGAGCCACCTTGTGGATTTCTGGTTACTTCATACTTTCTAAGTCTGAAATCTTTTGCTATTTTAGTTAATTCATGTTTATTACTCATTGTTAGAGTAATGTTTAACATTGAGTATTTTCTAGTGCCAAACATCGTTGGCAATAGAGTTATTGCATAATTCAGTCTTTACAGTGCAAACTATCATATCTTTGTACTGGTATTGTCTCTTAATAGATATTTCTGTAAGTAATTCAGGTACATCATGAGATAGTCTGTAGCATTTAATTATAATTTACAGACAGGCATTTTTAATTGTTTAAGACTTGCTGAATACAAATTAACAAATTGTTGAAAAAATATGGAGAAATAGAAAATTTTGATACAGTTGGATAAAGTTGAAAATCCCTAGTCATCGTGATTACTTGAATTTTTATCATATCTTTGTATTATGCTTTATTTTAATCGTCATCCAGCTGTCATTCATTGCGTTTGTTTTAAAAAAGTGGATTTATTGAGACATGTTTTTAGGGAACATTGTCTTCTTCACCATTATGTCCCCAGCCATCATATAGTATTTGTCTGACAATAGGTACCTTCAAATTACTTTCTTCTTTGCTTTTATTCGTCTAAGGCAGGCATTATACAAAATGCTTTAATTTCAATTTTCTCATGTGATCTACAGCACGATTCTGTCCTTTCACAATTCTTACCCCCATTTTACAGGTAAAGAAACTAAAACAGAGATAGTAAATTATTTCTTCAGAGACTTCATCTAATTAGAAGAGCATGGTTTGGGCCAGTCTGATTCTCTAATCTACCCTGGTATCCTTTATGTTCAGAAGTAAAAGACCAAACCCAATCTGGGAATTTCTAAAGGTTTATAGCATTGAGGCTTTTTTTAAGTGGAAGAATATTTCTCTAACCGAATCTCGTAAGAGGTTTTTAAAATCCTGCCTTTTCACAGTGCATATTGTAGCAAAAAATAAGATAATCTTTCTGAATGCTTCTTTAAGTAGAATCTAACATTGTTCTTTTAACCAGTTATTTATTTTTATTTCTCAAAAACGCCTTTTTAACTTAAATGATATTAAGTTTCCAATAATTCCAAGGAAATGAATATTTAGATGATAGGAGATATTTCTTTCCACATTATTGAAAAATAAGAAATTAAGTACTTTAAACATTAAAATAAAATTACAAGGTAAATTTGCTATGGTTGTGCATGGAAATTTAGCTTCTTGCCTCTTGTAGTAGGAGTATAGCTAAATTCTTTCCATGCCACAGTCTACTTTACATATTAAGAGTTTAGTGTAATCATCTCTATTCCTGCTTGCCAAGTAAAATGCAATTCTTAAAAACTCGCCTAAGTTACCCAACTCCTTCTCCTCCTCCAAGCTTTCTTCTCTTCCTCCAAACCTCCTCATTTTCTTCCTTTTCTTCTCCTCTCCCCATATGTGTAATTGGTGTAATAAAATTTTCTGTGCCTTAACTATAACTTACAATGAATCTTCTCTCCTATAATTAGGACTTCTCATACCATTCCCATTGTTAATATGGGTCACTCCCTATGAAAAGCCACCTGTATTTACAAGTTATTCACTGAAATAAGAGCATATGGAAAAGAAAGTGAAGTACTCCAAGAGTATTTTAAGCTGTAGATGGAATTTAGGGTTCCCCTTAGGCATAGAAATGTCTCAAGAATTCTCAAAGCAAGAGGCGCACTAATGAAAATCTAGAAAAACTCTTATTGTGGCTTTACCTCTAAAGCTTTATAACATTAGACACCTAAAACTTTCTGAAACTTCCTTCTATGAAATTGGAGTAACATATATTCTAGTAGTCTTCTATGAAAAACTACTAGAAAAAGTATAATAATATATGAAATTACTGTAGAAACTGGTCAGATTATATGGTATCATAGATCTCCATATTCGAAAAGTATATACAAATATTCAGTTTAAAAATGGTGAAAGGATTATGAAATGTGAATATTATTTTCTTAATTTATCCTACACATTATTTTTCCCCATCTCCTACAGAGATACTGCGTCAAGGAACCTGTTTTGGTGCATACTTTATACCTCACAGAATAGTAGCTCATATTTGTAGGAGTCAGGAATGAACATACCTTCATTATTGAGTTATGGTTTTCAGTTATGATTTTTCACTGTAAGGGAAATGCATAGAATTAAAATCTTCAGATTCTTTTTTCTTCAAGATCAGATCAGTTTTTTTCCCTACTGTGGGCCAGATTTCTTAATATTCCTTAAATACTCTAATACTATATTGAGCATTCCCATCCACTCTTGCATAGAATTTCTCTGACTTTTAGGGCACAAATGTAGATTTGATTTTTTTTAACCGTATGTCAGAGATAATGAGTTTTTCTTTTAGATACTAATGATTTGTCATGTGGTAAACCTGGCAAATGTAGCTATTCGAAGTAACTGTTGAATAATTTAGAAAAATGTACTCATGCTACTTAAAAGTATATTTTTATGACTTTCCAATATAGAACTATATCAGTACTCCTCCAATCCATAGCTACAACCTAGCCTTTTCCTTAATTAACAGCAGCCATATTTGTTGTTTCGCATTAATCTCGTCTGACACAGAATCATTCTGTGCATGGTTACCTGTAGCTTTGAAAGAAAGAATAGTTCAAAGAATGACATTTAAATGGAACAGTAGAAATCGTAATTGTTTAAAATGTCAGTAAGCAGTGTATTGCAAATATCAGTACCACCTACAATAAAAAAGTACTTGCCTCATTCTGTGTGCACTTGTTGAATTTAATAATTAAACCATGAATTTTTTAATAAGCAAGTGAAGAAAAATGATTAAAGTAGGATACAAATTTTAGAGGATAAAAACTTATTAGTTGAAATTAAATTGATAAATGTTGTATTTTTTGTTTATTTTATGAGACAGGGTATACTTTGTAGTTCAGACTAATCTTAAATTCACTATGTAGCCCAGGCTGACCCTCAAACTTGCAGTGATCCTCCTGTCTCAGCCTCCCAAGTGCTGGGGATTACAGGTGTGTGCCACTATGCATGGCTCAGATGAAAGGCCATGGATTTAATTCTCAGCACTAGAAAACAAAGAATAAAGAAAAACTAAACATGACAGTGTCTAGCTATAAATCTGAAGACAATTTGAGGGTTTGGCATATTCCTAGATTTACTGCGGTATTATTTATTATTTTCAAAACCATGTTTTATCGGCCTCTTTATGCTAGGCATCCTAAACCTGGGAATCTTTTCCAAGGAAAAGCTAAAAGAAAAGTTAATTTTCACCAAGATTTTTTTCAGCATGTTACTTATAATAAAAAAATAACGGCAACTTTGTACATACAAAACAGTAGGCAAATTATAAAATGTGGACAATAGTTCAGTTGACTATAGTCTTTTTTTTTTTTTTTTTTTTTTTTTTTTTTTTTTTTTTTTTTTTTTAATTTTATTTAAGGAGAAAAGAAAAAAAAAAGCAGGGAAAGGGTACAAGTTATACAGATTTACAGAAAAAAAAATGAACAGTAGGAAATCACTAGTTAATGGATTACATATTGTCATCTTAGAAATAATTGTTCAAGTCACAAAATTAAAGCTTGTAAAGTGGACATTCCATCAATGATACTGCAAACAGTTCTGTTCATTGATCCAATAAAACTCTGTGATATCATTTTCTATCTTATACACTTAAATATACATGCAGTTATATAGTTTGGAGCACTTTCTTTTCCTCTCTTTTGTACCA